ATTCAGAAAACTTAAGATCATGGCATCTGGTCTCATCACTTCACAGCAAATAGATGGGGAAACAATGGAAACAGTGAGACACTTTATTTTGGGGGGCTCCAAAATCACTGCAGATGGTGATTGCAGCCATGAAATTAAAAGATGCTTGCTCCTTGAAGAAAAGCTATGACCAACCTAGACAGCATACTAAAAAGCAGAGACATTACTTTGCCAACAAAGGTCCATCTAGTCAAAGCTATGGTTTTCCCAGTAGTCATGAATGGATGTCAGAGCTGGACTATAAAGAAAGCCGAGTGCCGCAGAATTGATGCTTTTGAACTGTGGTGTTGGAGAAGACTCTTGAGTGTCCCTTGGACTGCAAGGAGGTCCAACCAGTCAGTCCTAAAGGAAATCAGTCCTGAATATTCATTGGAAAGACTGATGCTGAAGCTGAAACTCCAACACTTTGGCCACCAGATGCAAAGAACTGACTCATTGGAAAAGACCCTGATGTTGGGAAAGATTGAAGGCCAGAGGATAAGGGGACAACAGCGGGTGGTGAGATGGTTGGATGGTATCACTGACTCAATGGAATGAGTTAATGGAATGAGTTTTAAGTAAGCTCCAGGAGTTGTTGATGGACAGGGAAACCTGGTGTGCTGCAGTCTATGGGGTCACAAAGAGTTGGACAAGACTGAGCAACCGAACTGAACTGCTATTTGTGATATCATATATTTGTCTTTCTCTGACTTATGATGATCTCTAGGCCCATCTGTGTGGCTGCAAAAGGCATTGTTTAATTCTTTTTGATGGCTGAGTAGTAGTCTGTTGTGTGTATGTGTGTGTGTGTATATATATATATGTACCACTTATTCTTAATTTATTCCTCTGATGAACATTTAGGTTACTGCCATGTCCTGACTATCATAAATAGTGCTGCAATGAACACTGGGGTGCATGTGTCTTTTTGAGTTATGGTTTTCTCTGGATATGCCCAGAAGTGGGATTGTTGAATCATATGTGGTACTATATTTAGTTTAAGGAACCTTCATCTGTTCTTCATAATTGCCTGTACCAATTTACATTCCCACCAACAGTATAAGAGGGTTCCCTTTTCTTCACACCCTCTCTAGCATTTATCGGTTTATAGATTTTTGACTGGTGTGAGGTATCTTTGACTGGTGTGAGGCAATACCTCACTGTAGTTTTGGTCTGCATTTCTCAGAAAATTAGTGATGTTGGGCATCTTTTCATGTGTTTTGGGGGCATCTGTACATCTTTGGAGAAATGTCTATTTAGGTTTTCTGCCCATTGTTTTTTTTTTTAAATTTTTTGATGAGCTATTTGTAAATTTTGGAGATCAACCCCTTGTCAGTTGCTTTGTTTGCAAATATTTTCTCCCATTCTGAGAGATGTCTTTTCATTTTGTTTATAGTTTTCTTTGCTGTGCAAAAGCTTTTAAGTTTAACTAGGTCCTGTTTATTTTTGTTTTCATTACTCTAGGTGGTGGGTCAGAAAACTTCTTGCTGTGATTTATGTCAAAGAATGTTCTTCCTAGTGTCTGACTTACATTTAGGTCTTAAATCCATTTTGAGTTTATTTTTGTGTATGGTGTTAGGGAGTATTCTAATTTCCTTCTTTTATATGCAGCTGTCCAATTTTCCCAGCACAGATTATTGAAAAGGCTGTCTTTTCTCCATTGTATATTCTTGCTTCCTTTGTTATAGACTAGGTGACCATAGATGCATGGGTTTATCTTGGGGTTTTCTATCCTGCCAATACCATATATTTTGATCACTGTAGCTTGCAGTAGAGCCTGAAGTCAGGAAGCCTGAATCCTCCAACTCCATTTTTCTTTCTCAAGATTGCTTTGACTATTTGGGGTCTTTTGTGTTTCCACAGAAATCATAAAAAGTTTTTGTTCTCATTCTGTGAAAAATGCCATTGTTAATTTGATAGGGATTGCATTCAATTGTAGGTTGCTTTGGATAGTATATTCGTTTTCACAATATTGATTCTTCCCATCCAAGTATATGGTATATATCTCTTCATCTGTTTGTGTCATCTTTGATTTCTTTCATCAGTATCTTGGGTGGTTTTGTGAATACAGGTCTTTTACCTCCTTAGAGACTGGTTTTTTCCTAGGTATTTAATTCTTTTTGTTGCTATGGTAAATGAGATTGTTTCCTTAATTTCTCTGATATTTTTGTTGTTAATGCACAGAAATCCCTTGCATTTCTATACATTAATTTTGTAATCTGCAACTTTACCAAATTCACTGATTAGCTCTAGTAGTTTTCTGGTGGCATCCTTAGAATTTTCTATTTATAGTTATCATGTCATCTGCAAATAGTGACAGTTTTACTTCTTTTTCAATTTGGATCCTTTTTATTTATTTTTTTTTCTTCTGTGGTTGCCATGGCTAGGACTTCCAAAACTATGGTGAATAATCGTGGCAAGAGTGGACATCTTTACTTTGTTTCTGATCTTCGAGAAAATGCTTTCAGTTTTTCACCATTGAGAGTGATTTGGTTGTGGGTTTGTCATATATGGCCTTTAATACATTGAGGTAGGTTCCCTCTATGCCCACTTTCTGCAGAGTTTTTGTCATGTATGGGTGTTGAATTTTGTCAAAAGCTTTTTCTACATCTCTTGAGATGATCATATGGTTTTTATTCTTTAATTTGTTAATATGGGTGTATCACACTGATTGATTCCCTTTCCTCGATTGTGGTTTCCTTTCCACAGGCTCCAGGGCTGTCCTTCATCTTGCTTCTGGTGTTTGCCTCTTGGGGGAGGAGGCTGATCTAAGGGGCTTGTGCAGGTTTTCTGGTGAGAGCGGCTGCTTCCTGCCCACTGGTGGGTGGAGCTGTGTCAAGGGGTGGGTGTTTGGAGGGGGCTATGGGCTCAGATGGGGCTGTGTTCCTATTGATTGTTTGGCCTGAGGTGTCCTAGCACTGGAGCCCACAGGTTGTTGAGTGGGGCCAGGTCAAAATGGTGACTGCTTGGGGAGCTCACACCTGAGTACTTTCCAGGATGTCTGCCTCCAGTATCTCTGACCCCACAGTGACCTCACACCTCCCCAGAGATGCTCTGAGACCAGCAGGGAAGTCTGGCCCAGGCTCCTGTGAAGTCACTGGTTTCTCCCTGGGTTGAGAGCGTACAAGACCTGGTGTGTGTCTCCAGGAGTGGAGTTTCTATTCCCCTCCATCCGGTGGAGTACTCTGACGCCAACCCTGCTGGCCTTCAAAGCCACATGCTATGGGGGCTCCTCCTGACACCAGCCCCCCAGGCTGGGGATTTGGGTGTGGGGCGCCACACTCTCACCTCTGTGGGAGAACCTCTGCGATACAGTCATCTTCCAGTTGGCGGTCTCTCACCTGGTAGGTACTGGATTTGATGTTATAGCAGCAGCTGTGTCCCTCCTCCCGTCTTATCTTGGCTGCTTCTCTGTCTTTGGATGTGGAGTGTCTCTTATTGGTAGGCTCTAGTCCTTTTTGTTGATGGCTGTTCAGCAGTTAGTTATGGTTTTGGTGTTTTTGTCACAGCAGATGAGCTGGCATCCTTCTACTCCACTAGCTTGTCCTCTTCCCCTTCATATTTGTTATTTACTCCGTAATTTGGGAGCAAATGCTATAATGAATGGCCCCAGCATCTGCCTATGCATCTTAGGACAGGCACCAGTGCCCGGCAGCCAGTAGCCTTGACCTACCAGTGTCTTGGTCAGAGGGCCCCCAGTGGATAAGGCCTCCATGCACTCAACTGTTTCATGAGTCACTAACTCTAATCCATGCTTCCTAAGAATGAAATTCTCTGGCCGGTCTAAAAACCTGTAAGCAAACTGTTTAATGGAGGGGATGTCTCAGGCCAGTCTGAGTTTTAATGAGGCTAGATAGGGCTCATGAATGTGACAAATAAACCAGCAGCTCGGCTTTCCTTGGAAAACCCAAGCAGCTTAATGTTGGCAGTTGTTACCATGGAGAGCAGGATGGAAGAGTGGAGGTGGACATATAGCATGGTCTGAAAGTTCTCCTGCTCCAAATGAAGAAGGCAAATCCTTGGGCTGCACAAAACCATTGGTACCTTGGCAAACATGTTCCAGAGCCCTAAAGAAGTTTGATCTCACCACTGAAGGGGCAGAAAAGTCCCACACTAATTCATGAATCAAAATGAAATAGTCTACAAATAGACTTTGGTCTAGGAATTGTGCTTTATGACTGATTAGATAAGTTCTTAGAGGCGCAGATTTACACCCAAGATCTGAATGTGGGATCAACTTTGGGTGTAGCCCTGCACCCCATCATCATTCCTAGGAGTAGACTGGGTCTGTTAACAAATAAAAATCTAAAAATACAGTAACATTTCTCAAATAGACCAAAGAAAATGGGAATCAAGACTATTCTGCTTTTTGGAATACCTGAAAAGATGACGTTGACATTGACTGGGAATTCGGCATGGAGGACAGAAGGTCAAATGATCCCAGGCCCGTCGTTCTAAGAATTAGAGTGAAAGAAGGGCACCCCACTTGAAGGGGGCTTGAATCAGTCCTTAGAAAGGACTGGTACTTCTAATCCCCATCTTAACTCGTTATTGACCACAGACATAGTCATAGGTCTTTTGTTACACAAATGTTAGTGACCTGAGATGTGTCAGTATTCACTTAACCAACTGCTGGCCACGGGCCTTAGTTTCTGCAAAAATCCCTCAGTCAATAATGTGTTAAGTGCTTTTAAAATGAAGCAGAGACTATTCACACTGGAAGGAAAGTAAATCCTACTGGCCAGAGCTAGGAAAGCTTGGAATTAATTTTTGGGCATACGCTTCCTGAGCTGTTTTATGCAATGGTCATGCCTTACACATATTCAGCGCCACCTGAGGCCCAGCCCAGAGATGTAGGTGACATGACCCAGGTCCCACAGGGCTCTCCCCATGCCCGCTCTGGCTCATGAATCTGAGAGAGACACAGCCAGGGTCCCAGATGGAAACGGCCGGGAGCCATGGTCAGTCACCTCTCCACATACCTGAAGTTCCGCCATGATTTTGTCTCCCTCTTCTTCCTCCTCCTCCTCCTTTGCAGAAGCAGTGACAGGGGGTGGCGATGGGGCCCAGGCTGTCACCGGCTCCTCAGCCGGACACTTTGCGGCTCTAGCCTGTGGACTTGGTCCAGCATCTTCACTGCTTGCCTGTGGAAGATTTGAACTACAGTTACTGGCTTTTCACCCCCAGATGCTGGCCAAAGGGGGTCAGATCACAGAAGAGCATGCACTGCCTCACTGCTAGGTGCCTCGGCTTCCTAGCTCTTCAGATCAAGCTAAAAGGCTGTTTTGTCCACTCGCATGTAGTTTGGGTTTTACCTTGCCCAAGGTGTCATTTTGGCAAATGAATTGAAGAATTAAAACTCCTTAACTTCAATGCCTTTTAAAAAGGTCCTCCTTGGAAACTGTATTTTCATTTAATATAAAAGACAAAGCTTGCCAAGTTAAGTGGAAGTGAAAGCTCTCTGAACCTCTGTTGATGCCTACAACAGTGTCAGCTAATCGCAGTTACCTTTGTAAGATGATCTTTCTTGTGCTTGCCCCTCAGGCCCTCATTTTCTGTCTTAGTGTGTTTCGCTGGGGAAGTAGCTGGTGAATTGAATTTCACATAGTTGCAGCTAAAAGTCAAGTAAGGATAGGACTCCTGGGGCTGAGTCTATTCCAATAGTATACTGACTGACATTTTCCCATCTATGGCGATTCCTTGGAGATCTAGTTCATTCTCTCCTGTTTGCTACCTTTTATGTTCTAAAGGACAGCAGAGAAGACCTTGTCTAGGGACATCATCTGAACCCATAGACCAGTTCAGCAGGGCATCACCCATCAAACCTTAGCAGTGGCACTCTCCTTCCTGCCAGTGTAGACCACGTCGCCCGACCTTGTGGTAGTGAGCCCAGATCCTGGCAGGTAGCTCCGCCGTGGAGGTGGAGGAGGAGGAGGTGGGGACCTACCCCCCGGCTTGTCCAAGTCCAGTTCTGAATTTGGAGAGTCTTCTGGAAAACAGTGTGTCATTGCAAAATCAGCTTTCAAGATAACATCCAGAAAGTCCACTGTATTTCTAGAATGTCAGTGAACCTGACTCAAAACTTCTTTCTTCTCTCCATGGTGCAACAACTAAAAATATAGGCCCTGAAGCCTGACTGGTTTGAAGTCCAAGAAAGGCCCTGAACAATTTAATTAACCTCTCTCTGCCTCAGTTTTCTCATCTGTTTAATGGGTTAACAATATTGTTTCCACCGGGTGTTGTGAAGATTAAATGGTTTGATGCACATAAAGCATTTAAAATAATGCCTGGCTTATAGCAAACGCTATGTGCAAGTATTAGTGTGACTTTTAAACAAATTTCTTACCCCAAAAAACTTTTACCTGGAGAGATGAAAGGTCAGAACCCCTTGCAGGGCCTCCAGAGCTTTCATCCCTGAGTCTGAAAAGGAGGGTTCGGAGGAAGGCTTCAGGCAGAGGAGGTGAGAGTACAATCTGGCCCAGGAAGGGCCAGAGGGAGAGTGGGAGGCAGATGGGGTCACAGGACAGAGTTGGGGAGAAAGTGCATTTTTTTTGGTCGTGGTTATGTGGTTAGAAAAGGTCTCTCTGCTAATTAAAGGAAGAAGCAAATGCAGAAATGAGAGAATCAGAAAGTAGTACTGACACCAAAGGTTAGGAGATGCAGCTATCTGCTGAGCTTTCCTGCCAAAAATGCCCAGAAAAAGGCATTTCTTACTCAAAGAGCTTCAATCCTGTCCTGTATCAACATCCTTCCCTTCCTCCTTTTACCAATACTCTATCCAAGAGCTTACAAATGTGGTAAAGCCAGAAATTCAGAATCGGAGCTTCCAGCTGGCCTTTGCCCCAACTTTGGGGACTCACAGGCCTGGCCTCCCAGGAGTGTCTGTCTTTTCTGAGCAAATGACATGGAGTTGTTTAGAGGAGGTGCTTGAGGACTTTCTACTGAAAGTTTTAATAAAGGCCTGGGTAAGTCATCAGGGTGACAGGCCAGTGATTGCAGTGGACGGTTTCTGGCTTATGCAGAGGGTGCTGGGTTATAGGGTCCCGTCCCAAGGCCAACAGCCTGGCTCTGGTCTCCCTCCCATATGTAATGACAAAGGTTCTGTCTCTGACCAACTTGAAATGCACTGGGCTGCATGTAAAATAATGTCTTTGTCCATAATTTTAAGATCAGAATAAGGCACATGGTTTGTAACTAGTTGAAGATTTACCAGCTTGAGTTTAACAGCTATTTTATATTATTATGGAGACACTGATGCTTAATTTCCATAGTTTTGTTCGTTAAATATACCATCTAATAATTTTGATTAAAAAAAAATGAATCCTCCCTGTGATCTGACATCCCTCTGGGAGCTCATAAAATCTGGTGTTTTCTAAGGAGAGCTCTCAATTTAAACACAGCCCTCCTGTCCCCCAGCTGCTGTGGCAAAGAGTCATAAATTGTAAGAAAGGCAGAAGCTACACTTTTCCTTAGTGGATACTATTCTAGAATCCTAATGCAGAACACAGCTTTCCTGCTATGGTTATAGTTCTTCACCAGCAGTAGTCAATAAAAATTAAAACAGTAGACTCTAGAGACATCTAAGGGTTTGTTGTTTTCAATTAAAATTTTTTTTTCATGTTAAAATGGACTTTATTTTCCTCCCAGATTTGAGATATAATTGAACAAAATTATACGTATGTAAAGTATGCAACCTATTGATTTGATAAGCATAAATACTGTGAAATTCTTAACACAATCATTAACACATCCATCACTTCATAGTCTGGTATGTGTGTGTGGTGAGAATGTTTAAGATCTACTCTCTCAGCAAATTTCAAGTATACATTAAATATTATTAATTATTGTCAACATGCTGTACCTGAGATACCCAGAGTGTATTCCTCTTGTAACTGAAAGCTTGCATCCATTGACCAGCGTGTCCCCCTTCTGCTAGCCTCCCTGCCCCATTAATCCCCACGTGACTCCCTGCTTCTGTGAGTTCCCTTTTTTTTTTTTAAGATTCCACCTATAAGTGAGGATATACAGTATTTGGTTTTCTTTGTCTGGCTTCCTTCATTTTGTATAATATGCTCCAGCTTCATCCATGCTGGAGAAGGAAACGACAACCCACTCAAGTATTCCTGCCTGGAAAAATCCCATGGATGGAGGAGCCTGGTGGGCGGCAGTTCATAGAGTCACAAAGAGTTGGACACAACTGAGTGACTTCACTTCACTTTTTGTCCATGTTGTCACAAAAGGCAGGAATACCTTATTTCTTATGGTTGAATAATGTTCATATATATATATATATATATAACACAGTTATGCACACATATACATGAGTATACACTATATACATATGCACAGACTATATGTATAAATATGCAGTAAGTATAATGTACACATGTATATATAATAGGCATATGCATATCACATCTTCGTTATCATTTTAGCTATGAACTTTTCCATATCCCTTCACAAATAATGCAGCAATGAACATGAGAGTGTTGATATCTCTTTGAGATGATTCTGTTTCCTTGGAATATATACTTGGATATGGATTGCTGGTTATGTGGTAGTTTTATATTTAATTTTTGGAGAAACCTTCATACCATTTTCCATAGTGGCTGTACAAATTTACATTCCCATCAACAGTGGACGATGGCACTCTTTTCTCCACATCTTTGCTAACATATGTTATCTTGATTTTTTTAATAAAAGACATCCTAACAGATGTGAAGTAATATCTCACTGTGATTCTAATTTGAAATTTCCGTGGTTATGTTGAACAACTTTTCAAATAACTGTTGGCCATCTGTGTGTATTGGGTTTCTCAAAAAACTAAAAACAGAATTACCAGCAGTAGTATAGTACTATTGGGTATATATCCTCCCAAAACAGAAACACTAATCTGAAAAGATACGTGTACCCCAATGTTTATAGTCACATTATTTACATTTGCCACAATATAGAAGCAACCTAAGTGTCCATCAGCAGAGGAATGGATAAAGAAGGTGTGGTGTATATATTCAATAGCATACTACTCAGTCATAAAAAGAATCAAATTTTGCCATTTACAACATGGACTCTTGGAGGGTGTAAGTCAGAGAAAGACAAATACTTTATGCTATCACTTATATGTGGAATTAAAAAAATAAAGTAGTACACATATAACGAAATGAATCAGACTCACAGATACAGAGAACAAACTAGTGGTTACCAGTGAGTGCAGAGGGAAGGGAGGGGGGGCAAGATGAGGGTAAGGGACCAAGAGTTATAAACTGTTCTGTGTAAAATAGCTACAATGATTTATGTACAAAACTGGGAATATAGCCACTATTTTATAACTATAAATGGAATATAACCCATAAAAATTGTGAACCACTATTGTGCACCCAAAACTTATAAAAGTTTTTTATTGAGGCATAGTTGAGGTACAATATTATGTAAGATCTTTAGGAAGTGAGAGCTTGATCCCCTTCGCCAGCTTGTGCCCTTGTGGGTGGTCAGCCCACACAGCTCGGATAGTACCTTACCTGAAAGTTCTAATTTGTCCACTGGAGCATCACCCTTTGGCTGGGGGCCTGAGGCTGGTGGCATCTCCAGGTTTGGAATTGACTTCATAATATTGGCCTGGGCTTCTTCTAGGAGTTTCTCAAACTCCTTCCCATTATAGTGGTCCAGATTTTGCCTTTTCTCTTCCCATTTCCTTTCTGCTTTCTGAAGGAAAACAGCAATGAAGAAAGTTCAAAAGTCAGAAGGGAACATGAATTGATAAGTCTTGAGATTTGATGCTGGGGTGGGAGAAAGGATAACTCAGTGAAAGCACTGGTCAAATGATGCTCTGGCTTCTGTGTCCAGGGACACGTCTGCACATCAGACAAACCTGACCCTTATGCTGTCTGCTACATCTTAAACAGGCTGCCACAGACGCCCAAGTGATGTTCATTCACTAAATTATTACTGAGCACTTACTACATATTCTCCCAGCACTCATGAGAGGGACACAGAGATACACATTCAAAGGCATGTAGCCCGTAACTTTCTTTTTTTCTACACTGAGCTTTCATCATAGAGGAAATGTTCAAAGAAACAAAACAGCAGAACACTCACTAATCCTGTCTTAGTTCTGCTGCTGTCAAAAGAATTGCCGTATGACCTTCTGGGTCACATTTTACTATTTACCAAATGAAGGGGGTATTGAGATAATCTCTAAGCTCCATTAAGTTCTACAGTCTCTACACAGAAATATATACATTTAAAAATACATTTTAAAATATCTGTACATTTTTTGAAAGAACATTTTCCTGTGATTTTGACATGTTACATTATCATTTCAAAAAAGAGTGGAAATGAGTACCAGGATCAGTGGAACCCTATACTGTGAAAATAAGAAAAGACCCAGGAGATCACGGAATCGATGTATTTTACAGTGAGAACATGGGGGCCTGGCGAGATGAAGGATTTGCCCAAGATTCATTCTCTAGGAGTAACAGCCAGCACTGTCACCATCCTGAGCCTCCTGTTTTTTCCTTCCTAGCATTTATCATCACCAGAGCCTGGTCCCTTCTGTTCACTGCCTACCCCAGAACCTATGAAGGCCTGGCACTCAATCAGGCCCAGTAACATCTTTTGAGTGAATCAAGCTCAAAGGCAGAGCCAGTAGGAAGACTCGGGCCTCCTTACCAGGATCAGAGCATTTCAGAGGTGACCTGTGAATGTACTGTTGAAATTTAAAATACACACATAACAATGGTAATTATGCCTAGTAGATTCTCAATGGACATTTTTAAATAAAAGAATCATCCTACTGACTTCTTTGCAATGCAGAGATGTTTAATGTGGCAGGTCCACTAACTTTCAGGAGCAAGATGTGCTTGCAGCCTCCTCCCCACCCTGATAGGCAGAATCATCATCAATCACATTTCACCCCATCTTACAATATGCATTTTATAAGCAGCTAATTTAGTTTAGGGGGCACAGCCTCTGAGTCTGGAGCAGAGGGGAGCTGCCTCGTGTTCAGAGGCCCAGTGGCCAGGACTGTGACCTTCGTGGTTTTAAGTTGTCACCTCTTGGAATAAGTTATCCACTGCTGACTTGCAATAGAGGCAGGACTGGGGACCGAGGACACAGTCCTGAGTGGAGGAAACTTTAGAGAAGGGGAAGGAGAGACCCAGGGGAATGCAGTGTGCTGCACGAACACTGACTCCAGCTCCTGCTGAAAAGAATATTTTAAAAACACAGCAGGTTCTCTCTATACCCTGTGACTTTGAGACCTCCCTCTCTCGTCTCCTCAGACTTTGGTAACAACTTCCCATTCAGCATCCTTTATTTGAGACCCACCACCTCAATCAGTTCTGCATACTGTTTCCACATGAATTTTCTGAAGACACCACGTTTTATCACTGGTCCAAGCAGCAGCATTTCTCTGATATCCATGGAATAAAACCGTAGTCATCTGATACCGGGGAGTAATCTCTCCCAAGTCAGCCTCCAGCCCCTTTGGCCAGCCGTTTTTCCTCCTCTTCCCAGTAAACAGGTATACTCAAGGCCCGACCTTCTCCATCTGAGAATGCCCTCATCAGCCTTCTCTGCTTACCCAGACTCTACTTCATTTTCCAGGTGACTGGTGAACCCTGCATTCACCAGTGGTGTGCCTGGCTCAGGGGGGCTGACTTCACCTTTCCTCCCAGAGTCATGTTCAGTGAGGTCACACTGTTGCTTTACTCAAAATCAGTAATGGCTGATTAAGTCTCCACCACAGAAACTGGCAAATGCTACAAAGCAGGCTTTTCCCCATTGTTAAACACTGTTACCACTGTCTCACCTTCCTACAGGTTGGGTGCCTGATTCTTCTCTGAAATATGATGGCCTCTTAGTCTGGCCATTGAAACAAAAAAAATCTACCATATACGTATATAAAATAGCTATATTTTTATGAAAAGAATATCAAAAAACCTATTTTCTGATAAAAATATAAAGTTATATACATCTTTGATACATATATCCACTGTCTCCACAACCAGACTGTCAATTCTTGGTGGGAAAGGACCCCATCCTTCCCCCTTCACATAATTAGGAGAAATGGAAGGAGGACCTACCTCGATAGACACCGCCCTGCTCCTGGCGCTCACACTGTGGATTTCCTCGATGAACAGGCTCTGCACGGAGGAGCCGTCCCCGGGCATCTGCGGGGACGGCAGAGCGGAGGGGGCCTCCGGCGTGGCGGCAGGGGCGCTGGCGGGGTGAGGGCCCGGGCCCCCGGGCGCGTGCTGGGCGGGGTTCAGCAGCGCGGAGGAGAGCTGCGACGGCTGGATGACCACGGGAGAGCTCTGCGCGTGGTGGACGGTCAGGGGCACCACCTCCGCCTTCACGTCGCCGGGGACGCCCGCGCCGGGGAGGGGCTGGCCCGACGTGTGGGGGGCCTCCTCCTGGGCCTTCAGGACCTCGGCGGCCGTGGCCTTCTCCATAGCCACGTACTGCGCGGCCTGGGCTGCATCCGAGCCTTTCAAGAGCCCGTCAGTGACATGCCTGGGAAGAGACCACACAGCAGCAACCAGTGAGCCAGGTAACGCGCGTTTTCATTGCGCGGTATTTACTTGTGCTGTGTCATCTGCAGCCCAGGCAAGATTTTTGTTGCAGAAATTAAGACATGCTAAAACCCCGAGTAGCAGCTTAGAGTTGAGGGTTTCCATAGCAACAGAACTGCCTCCTAGTGATCTTTAGCAGCGGCTTTCCTCTTCTTGCCTCAGGAGGTGGTCCACCCGTACTGCTGTGTCCACTGTTGGGGTGGTGGTGTCCTAGAGTGGACACATGATTCTAACCACAGTACCTGCACCTGTTCCAGGCCTGGGCAGCTCGCAGATGCTCGGTTCTGACCCAAAGCGTCCTTAACGCTCCGCTCTCTCCTGCTTTCACGGCTGCACATCTCGGGAGGGTGGTTTACATGCCAGTTCCTTTTACTTGCTCTTCCTACCGCTCAGCCATCGGGCCACCCCACCTGGACCTGACTAGCCTTTTTGCAACATTGACAGTGACTGTGACTCTGACTGCCCGGTTAGTCCTCATCCTCCTCTGCTTTGTGGGGGTTGGGGGAAAAGGCAGTCATCTGATGCTCTGTCCAGCTCCACCCACACTATGGTGGGAAAGACATGACCTTCAGGGTCAGACAGGCTTGTGTTCGGCTATCAGCTACCGTGTTCTAGCTCTGTAATGCTGGCAACTTCACCGCTGTGGGCCTCAGGTACTTTTCTGTGGATTATAGTGAAGATGATGATGGTCTAATTCCTTCCTCTGGGCTGGTGGCTACGATCAGCATAGTCAAATGAAAGACACTGTCAAATGTGATACTCAACCCATAATTTTTAATTAGCCCTGCATTCTCTTCTTACCAAAATGTGTTTTTCTTTTGCTCTGAAAACAAGATACTGCTTCTACAGCTCCCCTCTGCTGCTCACTTCTTTGTCTGGTTCCTTCAATCTCAAATCCCCAAGGGTCTGTTTCCTTCCTTTCCTTCTCCTGTCAGAGCTACCTCTTACATCTTCGGTAATCACCTACATGAAGGCAATTTTCAACTCTTAAACCTCTTTCCCCCGCCCTCCGAGTGAGGCAAGGACTCCTTCTAACTGTCTCTTGAACTTCAGTCTGCATTTCTAAGGGCTTCCTGGGCAACTCTGCTCTGCTATCCTTCCAGCACCTCAAACTCAAGACACAGAGAACCCCTCCAGCATCTTCCCAACCCGCGCAAGTTGCTCTGAACCATGACTTGTCACCCCCTCTGTCTTTGTTGGGCACCAGGACATGTGCCCGTCCCTGGGGGCGTGTGTATTCCTACCTTCCTTCTTGTGTCTTCCACAGCACTGAGTACAGCACGTTAGAAAGATCCCAAGGAATAATTAAATAATATAAAGACTTGTGATGGGCAGCTTAATGGAGGCTATATTTATTTTTAAAGTAACTTAACTGTCTTTATCTATATCATTTTTTAAAATCGTTTTTCAGGGAAGAGAGGGAGGGTGGGCACTGTTACCAGCCAGCCTGCTATCTGTGTAAACACTTAATAAGGAAGGTTTGATTTAGGCTTTGTGACTGGGTTACCACATTTAGGGAAGAGTTTAATGAAGAATCCTTTTAACATATTTTTATCCTACTGGAAGAAAAAGTTCATGCAATTTACAGTAGGGAGCCTATGAGAAAATGTAATTCAAGTACAATTTCTTCCTGTACCCAGGCAGATGTCTTCTCTGCAGGAAGAGACAAGAGTTGCCTTAATTCAGATTTTTGCTGGCCTCCTGAAACTTATGCAGGAGATTATAGAGCTCTCTGTAGCATCAGCATCTCAAAAGAGGCTCTTTCCTTGAGGTCACTATTACTAGAAAAATCTCACTTGCTCCTTACGGTTAATAATTCATCTAAAAGTCAACTGCACTTTTAACATATTTCTCCTGCAAACCTATCAAAAGATGATAGTGATTAAAATTCTCCCAAGAATTTAGATGTTACCTATGCTTGTGACCGGTTCTCAAGTCTGGTTTAAGATCTAAAGGGTAGCATCTCTGTAATTTTCCTAGTTCTGTTTTTTTAAAAAAAGGAAAATTCAGGACTGATGCAGTTGGGAGGTGGTTTATGTGGTAGCTGTGTCTATTTCCCATGTGGGAAAGGAAGTTTTATAAGAGCAAGGGTTCTGCCTGGTTTATTCTTATACTCTTGACACCCAACACCAGGACTGGAACAGATAAGAATGTCCAAATATGACTGACTGCCTGGCCACGAGATCAGAACCAACAGGTCTGGTGTCAGACTCTCAGGTCCCACCCAGCGCCGCCCCAGCCCCGGCCCCCCTGGTCACCTCCGCAGCATGGTCAGGGTGTCGGTCAGGCCGCGTACTCTCTGCAGGAGACTATCCAGCCTGTGCGGCTCCTCCTTCAGGAAGCGCACCGCCTCCACTTCTATGCGCAGGATGGCTCGCATCTTATTTTGTAAGGTTGGAAATTCTCCTGCAGACCAAGAACAGTGAGTGAGCCGCAGGAGCAAAGGCAAGACTAGCAGGCCCCACCTCAGACCCCAACACTGGACACGGTTGGGAAGTGTGGGGGTTCAGGAGGCAGAGTGGGTTCAATGTGACCTGGGCGGAGGGCGCAGCCCCTCGAGGTCTCATTTCCCGTCTCTGTGTGTGGGGTGGTCCACTGGGCCCTGAGTTGTATTCAGTGAATTTGGCACAGGTGCCCTGGTGCATTGTAAGAGCCCAGAGAAGGGAAAGGGTTATTAGAATCATTTATTCCTAAATATTACAGCAGCCAGTAAAATATTAATACCAGCTCCCAGCAGAGAGAGGCGCTTCTTCTGCTGTTCAGGGATGCATCCTGAGCGCCCAGAACAGTGCACAGTGGGTGCTGGACGAACACCTGCCCACGTGCACGGAAGAATCCTTCACCGTTGGACGGGCTGTCGGGATTCCCCTCCCCTCCAAGGAGGATGCTCACCTTTCAGGGAAGCGACGGCCTCTCCCACCTGGCGCAGCAGGAAAGCCCCATCCTCCACGTCTTTCAGAGTCACCACGCGGCTGGCCGAGGTGGAGTCCTTCTTCAGATCGTCAACGAAGTCTTCCAGGTCACTAGGGGGAAAGCCGACCACAGGTGGAGTGAGCGCGGGGGCCTTCTCTACGGACAGTGGAGAGCAGAGGACCCCGGGCCTCACCGGCTGGCCTCCCCCCAGTACCGCGGGTCCCTCCATGCCCACGGAGGTGGGAGCAGCAGCTGGGGAGGAGTAGCTTGGTTTGGCTTAAGAGACCCTTCTGGGGTGTGAGGTGAGGTTTCTCGGGGAGGCCCGGATCCACCACCTGGCTGACAAAGGACCCACTCTTTGTTTTCAGTGGCGCCGATGCCGACTAAGGGAGGGCTGCGTGGACACTGATGTGACAGAGGACAAAGAGGGGGAGAGACGGTAAGAGGAGGAGCCCAGGCGCTGCAGATCAGGCTTTTCTACCTTGGCGCTGACCTCTGTGGCCAGGTCATTCTTTTCTGCGGGGGGATGAGGGGTGTCCTGTGCGCTGTAGGATATTTAGCAGCACCCCTGACCTTGACATAGTAGCCTCCAGGAGCAGCAGCAGCTCTAAGCTGACAAAAGTGGACAAATTCTTAGAAAGGCACTACCTCCCAAGACTGAACCAGGAGGAAACAGAAAAAAAATGAACAAACCAGTCATAAGTACTGAAGTTCAAACTGTGGTTAAAAAACTTTCAGAAGTCTCTAGGTCCATTGACATCTCTACAAATGACCCAGTTTTGTTCCTTTATAAGTCTAATAGTCTATTGTTGATATACTGTATCTTCTTCATCCATTCCTATGATGATGACCGTCATAAAGAATGAAGTAAAAGGGAAAAATATATAACACATATATATGGAATCTAGAAAAATGGTACAGATGATCTTATCTGCAAAACAGAAATGGATACACAAACATAGAAAAGAAATGTATAGACACCAAAGGGGGCAGGGGTGGTGGGATGAGCTGGGCGATTGAGATGGCCGTTATACATACACACTATGGATACTGTGTGTAAATAGATAAGTAATGAGACGCTACTGTGCTCTGGTGACCTGATGGGGAGGGAACCTAAAATCCCAAGGAGGGATATGTACACATACAGCTGATTCACAGTGCTTACAGGAGAAACTAACAACATTGTAAAGCAACTATACGCCAATAAAAATTAATTAAAAAGAAAAAACTTCCAACAAACAAAAGTCTAGGACCAGATGGCTTTGTTGGCAAATTCTATCAAACATTAGAGAAGAGATAGCAGCTATCCTTTTCTCAAACTATTCCAAAAAATTGCAGAGGAAGGAACACTCCCAAACTCATTCTCTGAGGCCACCATCACCATACCAAACCAGACAAAGATGCCCCAAGAAAAAGAAAATTACAGGCCAGTATAATTGATGAACACAGATACAAAGGAAGGAACAAAAGGGAAGCTGGTTAGTTGAAGCAACTAAAGACAAAAACTTGGCATAGTTTAGTGAACGCATACAAAAAAAAAAAAAAATCAATAAAATACTAGCAAACGAAATCCAACAGTACATTAAAAGGATCATACACCATGATCAAGAGGGATTTATCCTGAGGATGCAAGGATTCTCCAGTATCCGCAAATCAATCAGTGTGATACACCACATCAACAAAATGAAGAATAAAACCATATAATCATTTCAATAGGTGCAGAAAAAGCTTTTGACAAAATCCAACACCCATTTATGATAGATGACAGCAGCAACCTCCTCTAACTTGACACAAACAAGAATGTTCCACAGACATTGTTGAAATGTCCCCAGGGGTCACGAGGGGAACAGACTTGCCCCTGAGAACCTCTGGTTTATACTGACTGTCCCGTCAGTAAGGACTGAGTGTCCTCTCCAGGATGCAAAGAGAATGAATGATCACAGGTCTGATTTCTGGAGGGGGTGCATGTGCACACATGTACTCACCTCTGAGGGTACGTCTCCCACTTCAACAAACACACCAGTAATAACATCCTGTCTCCTGAACACATCAACAACCCCACCCTAAACAGATGTGTGCATGATTTCATTTTGCCTGCTGATCTGACAGTAGAAACCCCCGCTATTAAAGAAACAGGAAAAGAGCTTTGATTTGAAGAACCACTAGGTGGCAGTAAGCGGACAGCGATTCCAGCGCCAGAACCTTGAGTGTGGGGCAGGCAGCAAGTCGACAGACTTCCAGTTACAAGGACTAGGCGTGTAATCAACAACACGATAAATATAATTAACATTGCTATATGTTACTTATGAAATTTGTTAGGAGAGTAAATCCTAAGAGTTGTCATCAGAAGGGAAAAAGTTTTTTCTATTTCTTTAATTTTGTATCTATAGGAGATGGTAGATATTCACTAAACTTACTGTGGCAATAATTTCATGATGTGTGGAAGTCAAGTCATTATGCTGTCCACCTTAAACTATATGGGGCTGCATGTCAATTACATCTCAATAACACTGGAAGAAAATTTTAACTGGCAATTCTATAAAAACATTAAAAGGCTGTATACTTTTTTAAAAGAACTTTTCAAGAAGAAACTTGAGACCTAGTTGTAGACAGTCGGGCTGTCATAGACCCATCTCAGACAAATGACAGCCTTAACACCTCATGGTGGGTGATTGTCTATAAGTGCATGGACTAAATACAAATTTGGAGCCTGTTTTTGAGATGCTGATAAACAGTGGTCAAATTTATTATCTGACTCTCTAGACTGCCACTGAGAAGGGTATTCTAATTTTAATCAGACACACTGGGTTGGCATCTGATTTGACATAAGCTCCAGCTCAAATATCAAAGAGGTCGATGAGCATAACACTCCCCACCCTGTAGGCTTCTGGTGAGTATAGTCATGGAGAGAATTTGAAAGTTGCTCCCTTACAGTCCCATTTTGGGACCTTTCCACTTTCCAAAAAAACAAGAGAATTTACACATCTACAATGGAATACTACTCAGCCACAACAAAGAAAGGAATTTTGCCATTTGCAGCATTTACATGGATGGGTGTGGTGGGCATTATGCTAAGTACAACAAGTCAGAGAGAGAAAAATACTGTAAGCTTATCACTTATATGTGAAACCTAAAAAATTCAAAAACTAGTGAATATAACAAAAAAACAGTGGACTCACGGATACAGAGAACAAACCGGTGCTTACCAGTGGGGGCAGCGAAGGGGAATATAGTGGGAGAGCAGAAGGTTCAAACTATTTAAGTGTAAGCCAGGCTACAGGATGTACTGTACAACATGGGAAATATAGTCAATATTTTGTAATAACTATAAATGGAGCAAAACCTTTAAAAATTAAAAATTTTTAAAGTATTTTAAATATTTAATACTTTAAGTACTTTAAATACTTAAAGTATTAAAAAATAATTAAAAAAAAATTAAAATGGCTTTGTGAAACTCAAAAAAAAAAAACAAACAGGAGAGCTACCAATACTAGAAGAACCCACACAAATGACTATTCATTATACTAAAAGGTGAAACTGTTCTATGATAAATCTTCACTGCATAACAAAACATACATTAACATAACAGATGGGCCTGCCCCAGTGACTGGGGTGTAATAAAACTCCACTTATTTCAGTAGTGTGACTTGATAGATGCTTTCAATAAGAACCTCACAGAAGATGGGTAGCATTCAAGGCAGCATCTTTCATTGTGCATCAGACATATTTTACACTGAAATTCTTCTTTTGTGATTTTAACTACAGCTGAATAATAGGCGGATAATTTTAGTGCTGTGTTATTTTGGCTATTAGTTTTAATTTATTGAGATTAAATTCAGATTTCCCATTTATCATTGGGTTGTGCCACAGCTCCTTTTAATTCGATGGGTTGTCAAGCCTTACAGAACAGTGTGATGCTTCCAAAGAGACTAATAAACTCAGTCACCTGAGGATTGTTCAATTTCCTGAGGTCGGATGGAGGGCACGAGCCGAGTGTCCACAGATATCCAGAACCAGCAGAACTCTAATGTGCACATTAAGTGCTCAGCAAAGAAAGAGCTTGAGAACACCGTCTAGGAAGGCCTCCTTGGCCAAGACAGGCTTGCCTTTCAGGTTGAACAGCTATGCACGCAACCAGGGACTGACTGCAAGGGCCCGGACTCACCACAGCTTCCGGACGATCTTCTCCTCTTCGTGCAGGTACTTCTGCCTCTCCTGCTCCACCAGGACCCGCTGGCGCTGCACGGGGTCCTCCAGTCTCTTCATCGTCTCGATCACCTTGCTGCTGATTTCCTGCTCAGCCTTCCTCATCATTGCCTTCAGCAGCTCCTGGTTCTGCAGCTGTTGGACAAAAGAGACCACCCTCCATCAACTCTTGCCGGGCTGATAGGAGGGTGCCAGGGCGCCTGGCAGCCCCCAGGTGTGGGTCTGGATAAACAGCCCCATAGCTGAGTCTTTCTTTATTTCACTGTAAAAGGGAAGGGAGCATAGACTGTATGTAATATTGCTGCTTCAGCCAGCATCCAAGTTTGAGCAGCCAGCTGACAAGCACACTTTCACATCCCTGTCTGCAAAAAGCAGTCCTTCCTGAATGCTGGAGAGACATACAGCAATGGGCGTGAAATCTCACATGTTTTCATAGCGAGAGCCAAGGGTACCAGCTCTGGAGCCAAGTGGACTTACAATCAAACCCTAAACCTACTCCCAGATGCAGTGAGAGACTCTGGGCACGCTCCTTATCTCTCAAAATGGAGGCGTTCATCTCCCTTGCCTCTTCTGCTCTGAAAATTAAATGAGATACTGTTTGGTATAGAAAGGTACTCAACAAATGTTCATTTGACTGTGGACTATTTCAGCCCATCAATTAAAGGAATATCTGTGTCCCTCTTATTAATGGGTCCATGGACCAAATACCACGTAATTACAGACCATCACAACATAGTACTTGAGAGGGTGGGGAAGGGAAGGCCTGGGATTTGGGATTAGCAGATGTAAGCTATTATATATAGGAAGGATAAACAACAAGGTCCTACTGTATAGCATAGGGCACTATATTCAATATCCTGTAATAAACCACAATGGAAAAGGATATATAAAAAAGAATGTCTATATGTATATAACTGAGTCGTTCTGCTTTGCAACAGAGATCGGCACAACACTGTAAATCAACTATAGTTCTTAAAAATAAACAAAAAACCTCAAAACACAGTACTTGCTGTCAGTGGTGGCAATGTTATTTGCAGACGAACCCTAAGGCTTTTGGCAATTAACTGATCTCCCTGGATTATACGTAGGCTGCTTACATACATAAGACCACAATTTCCACATAATTTTCCCAGGTGGTTTCCAGAGTACTCTTGTTTCTCACCCCAAAGTATAGGATGTGTGAGTATCAATCCAGGCTTTACAAATATCTAGCCAAACATTTGAATCCTGTTTCCAAGAGTTGTTACGTGGCTCCCTGGGGCAGGACAATTTTCTGACAGCACATACATAAAGTGAGCTCATTCAATCAGCCTGAAAAGCAGTAACTCTATCATACCTATTATGTCTGAAGTTCCCCTAAAATTTCAATTAGCTGTTACTGTTTCCTTCGTTTTGTGGTTTCGTAGACTGTGTATCACCTCACAGGAAGGATGACGCTCTACCAGCTGTCCATCATCCGTGCAAACAGAGAGGAAATGCCATCTGACTCTGTCACCACCTGCCTGAAACCTCATCATGGCTTCCATTTTTCTCTGAATAAAAATAAACCGTTTCTGGGACTTCCCTGATGGCCCAGTGGTTAAGACTTCGCCTTCCAATGCAGGGGATGCAGGTTCTATCCCTGGTCGGGGAACTAAGATCCCACATGCCTCATAGCCAAAACACCAAAACATAAAACAGAAGCAATACTGTAACAATTCAATAAAGACTTTTAAAATGGTCCACAGTAAAAAACAAAACAAAACAAAATTCAACATGGACCAGCCCTACAAAACCACCATCATGTTTGAACATCACCATCATCAACTGTCCATCCAGAGAATGATAGCTTGAGTTTACTTCCCAGTCTTCCTAAGTAGTTCCCAGCCTTCCTAATTAGCTCCCAGTCTTCCAATTAGTTCCCAGTCTTCCGAATTAGTAGCCATGCAATTGTGGGCAAGTTATTAATCTCTCCATGTCTCTCCAAGACAAACAGAAAGGGACAGTAGTAGTTTGTATCTCACGGAGGCGTAATGGAGCTCCGTGAGGCAATCAAGTGCTCACAGTCGTGCCTGGCACAAACCGAGCTCTCAGTATAGATGAGCTGTTGTTATCGCGGAGGATAACTGGGGGGGCAAGACCTGTGGTTTTGTCTGGGAGGGAGCCAGATAAAAATGTGCCACCCTTGGGTTACCTCCTCTGAATGAGTCACGATCATGCTTTCACACTCTCCTCGCTAATGCTGTCTTTTTATTGAGGTCTTACCGACACGCAGACTCTTGCTGAAAGGCAACACGTCTGGAGACAGTGCGCGGACAACAGCTTCCTGCCATGCCCTCTGCAGCTGTGGCTCTGCCCGCAAGGCGTGGGGAGGTCTGGCCCTTGCCCATATCACCAGCCTCCTCGCACCGCAGGCAGCTGGCGCTCTCTCTGCTCCAGCCACAGGGCCATCCTCTCTGTTCTTCTGACAGCCCGACCCCCTTCCTTTCTGCCACAGGGACTTTGCATGATACTCCCTCCTCCTGGTTAATTTCTGCCCTCCACAGAGTCTCCAGGACACCGTGCCTGGTACATAGCAGGCACTCAAATATGGGGTGAGCCACAAAGTTCATTCAGGTTTTTCCACCAAATGTTACAGAAGAACACAAACAAACTTTTTGGCCAATCCAGTATTTGTTGAATGTGTGAACTGAATTGGTAATAACAGACAATGGAAAATCCACCATTATTTGCCAGATGGTAGAAATGCGAGGTGACCTATGGCTCAGCTATGCCTTGAGCTCAGTGCTAATGCCCAGTTACTAAACAGACATAATAAACCAGCTGTTATCAAAATGGCACGCTCAAATTCAAGGCCATGTGTCAAATCCTATAGACCTATTCCCTTTGGGGGTTGAGGGTGAGTGGTAATGGGTACATAAGGGACAAATAAGATGACTAAATGCTTCTGAAAGTGATGGATACCTAGGTCCGTCCCCGAGAGATCCAGATTTAACTGGTCTGAGGTGCAGCGTGGGCGCCGGGAATTTTAAAATCCCTCAAGGGCTTCCCTGGTGGCCCAGTAGCTAAGACACTGGGCTGCCAGTGCAGGGGTCCCAGGTTCAACCCCTGGTCAGGGAGCTAGATCCCACAGGCCACAACTAAGAGTCTGCATGCCCCAACTAAAGATCCTTCATGCTGCAGCTAAGACCTGGTGCAGCCAAATAAATAAATAAGAAATGGAAGATATAAATGTATTTAGAACCATCTGAGGTTTTTTTTTTTTTTTAAATGTGCCACCACAGTCTGAGCACTGTGGTCTAAGAACACTTTGATGGACAGATGACATCACTGTGCTGTGAGCTGAGTGGCACGGCTCTCCCTAACTCTTCTGCCCAAATCTCACAGACAAGCTCCAATAAAATTATGGTCCAATCATCAGTGGATACTGACAGTGGCTATGAAGCCAGAAATTACTGCTAGAATATTTCAAATCCTTAAAATTGAAATTCCAAAGATGGGAGAAGTGAAGCCCTGAGAAGTGAGGGGACCTGTTTAGAGTCAAATTCAACCCAGTAATTTTCCGATCACCGTCTACTAGATAGCACCAGACAGCACACAAGCAGCTTCTGGCACACAGCAGATGAATCCAACACATGTTCAATGCTTGCAAGACAATACAGTTGACCCTTGAACCACAGGGGTGGCGGTGCCTGCCCTCTGTGCAAAAATCCAGGTATAGGGACCTCCCTCCCTGCTGGTCCAGGGGCTAGGACGCCATGCTCCCAATGCAGGGGGTCTGGGTTCAATCCCTGGTCAGGGAACTAGATCCCTCGTCAGGGAACTGGATCCCCTCATGCTGCAACTTCAGAGTTCACATGCCAGGACTAAAGATCCCACGTGCCACAGCTAAGACCCAGCGCAGCCAGATAAATACATATTTTAAACAATCCGAGTATATCTTCAGATTTAATCAACCTCAAATGCCAAGATTTCCTGGGTGGCTCGGTGGTAAAGAATCTGCCTGCCAATGCAGGACACACAGGTTCGATCCCTGGGTTGGGAAGATCCCCTGGAATAGGAAATGGCAACCCCCTTCAGTATTCTTGCCCGAAAAATCCCACAGACAGAGGAGCCTAGCGGGCTACAGTCCCTGGGGTTGCAAAGAGTTGGACACAACCGAGCAACTCAGCACACACTGTGAAAACCTATAGACATATCATAGGAACACAACTGCCTGTGATATTCAAATTACTCAACTGGTAACAGAGTCAGGGAGAGACTCTCAAATTATTCTGTTTAAAGTGGAGGCAGGGAGAGAGGTCTTGAGTTCCAGGCTGTATGACTCTCCCACCCAGAAAGAGTGCCTTAACCCAGACAGAGGGAGAAGAAACACTGAATTTCCTATAGCACATTGGCTGGTGCATGGGCAACAGTAAGTAAAATCACAAAGGAATAAAGACACGCATAGGTTCTGTTTCTACTTTCCCTGGGCCCCCGACCCTCCCTGTCTGGAGTTCTTCCCACTGTCTCTAGGACTTGCTCCCAGTGTGCGCAGAAAGCAGGGCCAGTGCTGACTGCTACTATATATAAAACAGATAACCAGTGAGAACCTGGGCAGCACAGGGAGCCCTCCTCCGTGCTCTGAGGGGACCTGAGTGGGAAGAGAATCTAAGAGAGGGGATGTATGCATACGTATAGCAGACTCACTGCTGGACAGGGGAAACTAACAACGTTGTAAAGCAATTGTACTCCAATAAAAATTAATTAAAAAACAGTGCTGAAGGCAGGATGTGTGTCAACATCTCTCTAAAGATGCTTCAGATAAATTAGCCACCAGCACTTCAAATCATTACATTTCGTTTTTTCTCAGCAGGGATTCTAAATTTCAATTTAAAAGAAATCTATTAAGATATAGCTTAGGACTTCCCTGGTGGTCCAGTGGCTAAGACTCCACACTCCCAAGGCAAGGGGCCTGGGTTCAGTCCCTGGTCAGGGAACTAGATCCCACATGCTGCAACTAAAGGTCCTGAGTGCTGCAGCTAAGACCTGGTGCAGTCAAATAATTTTTTTTTTAAAAGATATGGTTTACAAGCTATAAAATTACCCATTTTAATAGTGCTCAGGTCAATGAGTTTTGACAAGTGTATACACTGACGAAAGCACCACTAAAAAGG